TCCAAGAAGTAACGAAATGCTGACTGTCAACTATGTCGTTTAGAGCTTTTAAACGTTAACTTATTTCACAAAATACTTTTTTCCCACAAGGTTGAGTGTGAAGAGATGTGCTCTCAACTGGTCGTAATTGACAGCAAAGAAGAATTGGTCTGGCTCGCTACAACGTTTCTTTATAAAAGTAAGTTGTATTGTAGATTACCAAGGATATTATTATTATTGCGTAATCACGCTTAAATTTCTGCTTGTATGAATTCTATTCTCGTGTATACATTTACATTTAAGATAATGTGCTAGAATGATAATAATAATTATAATTTGTGTATTATTTCTATTTAATAGCCAAAAATAGTAATCTAAATCTTAGGTACCTGGCATCAGCAGTATTTTTTTAAGTAATAAGGTGTTTGTCTCCCCGATCCCTCAATTTTTAATGGACTTTTTTAAAATACATTTACAGTAAAACACGTTTATAACGAAGTACTAGGGTCTGACAAGTTTGCATCGTTCTTAAAATATACCGTTATATCATTCAAATTTACAATATATATAGTCACAGGGATGCAAAATTTCTTTGCTGTAAGTTTTAATTCAGCGTGTTCGATATAACCGTGCTTTATTGAATATATTCCTTATATTTACACTCTTTATGGATCATTTTAGATAATTGTCCTTTCAATGTATTCACTGACTGTAGCGCCTGGACTAGCGGAAATGACCTTGAAGTTGAAGGTCAATACCGCTGGAATGACTCCAACGTGACCATGAATTTTACCTATTGGTACCCAAAAGAACCAAGCATCATTGATCCAACAAAAGCTGATAAAAGAGATTGCATTGATCTTCTAAGAACTGCCAAGTGGAATGATAGACCATGTTCCTTTCTTAATTCATTCATTTGTAAAAAATCATATGTTTTCTAGATAAATATACAGCATATGTCACAAAACTGCAATCTGTCTTCTAAAATATTTTGATATTTTCTTTAACTGAATTCGGATGTGGACTCATAAGAGTCAAAGATTGTCATGGTGGTGATGTGCAAATAGTAAACAGAATATATTGCCTTATCGATATGAACTCAATTTGATTTTATGCGTTTAATGCGTCAATAATTTTACCAAGATAAAAAACAAAATAGGAAACTTAATGTTAACATGATGACGATTCGATATAGGCCAACATAGATACTAAGCATATAAACAAAAAATAATTAGACTCAATTACCGACCAACGTAGCGATGTCGACGATTTGAACCATGTTAACAAGATTTTAAAAAGGGCAATGTTGACACGATGTCGACTCGACATCGACCAACATTGCGATGCCGACAATGAGAACAATGTAAACAAGATAAAAAGAAACGCAAAGTTGACACAATGTCGACTGGATATCGATCAACATAGCGATGTCGACGATGTGAACGATTTAAGCAGGGTAAAAGAGGCAATGTTGACACGATGTTGACTCGATATCGACCAACATTGCGATTTCGACGATGAGAACAATGTAAACAAGATAAAAAGAAAGGCAATGTTGACACAATGTCGACTCGATATCGATCAACATAGCGATGTCGACGATGTGAACGATGTTAACAATAAAAATAAGAAGGGCAATGTTGACACGATGTCGACTCGACATCGACCAATATTGCGATGCCGACGATGTGAACGACGTAAACAAGAAAAATAAGAAGGGCAATGTTTACACGATGTCTACTCGATATCGACCAATATTGCGATGCCGACGATGTGAACGACGTAAACAAGAAAAATAAGAAGGGCAATGTTTACACGATATCTACTCGATATCGACCAATATTGCGATGTCGACGATGTGAACGATGCAAACAACAGAAAAGGGGAAGGCAATGTTAACAAGATTTTGACAAGATTTTGACGTTATATTGTTGAACAATGTAACATATAGAGAGATAAAGATAGGCATTATTGTCATGTTGAATATGTTATGATATTAGGAGGACTAGCATTTTTAAAGCGATGTCGACAATATCGAAAAAGCATCGTGCACTTGACATTCCTGGTACAGATGGGCATTTCCAATGCCTTTATTTGGCACTCGGGGCCTTCGGGTATGTATTTTAGTCTTCTTTTTAAAATACAATTACTTTTATTTAACATATTTAATCAAAAGGTTGCAATTGTGTATCTTATATTCAAACACAACCTGATTTCTTTCGTATCATAACAATTTCAAAATTTTAATTGGTTTGAAATTTTAACTTAAGTCTGTTTTCAGTTTATTGTCTTGGGGCCTTGCGTTTTATTTTTCTTTTTTGATTAGTTAAGGTTATCAAAAATGAATGACCAAGGTCAAGGTCAGAAATGGACGACATACACGATACTGACCACTAGATTCTCTGTGGTCTAACAGCAATGTAGATCTAGATTTTTGTGGTAATAATGTGATCAGTGATGGGATAAGTGACTGCCATTCAGAAATTCATAAAACTGTGAGTGTTTTACATGCGATTTTTCTATAACTTCATATTTGGTTCACCAAACGGTCACTATTGAGCGATCTACTGAGTTCAGTTCACCTGTACACGGACACGGGGCACATACTTGTCCACTCTACGATCGATTTTATGGTTAGACAGTGATACCGGTATTGACACTAACTATCTATCTGTCTATCATGCCGGGTAGAAAAGCTCAAAATCGATTTAGATATGGGCAAAGAGATCAACTTTCCCCCTTGTCCCCAAATGAATCTGACCACCCAAGTAAGCGGCAGCGTCCTAACTCTACGGGTTCCTTGAGCACTCTAGATCAGGATATTTCCGATCTAAGTGCTATACTAGAAAATGCCAGTGAACACCCTGAATCCCTGAAAAAAATCACTTCTTTGATTCTCAGTAATCCCAAAATAAAAGACTCAATATCAAAAACACTCATTCCTGAAATTGACCGAATGAAATCAGAAATATCTGACTTGTATCAAAGAATTGATGAACTAGAGCAATATTCCAGGAAAAACTGTCTAAAAATCTCTGGGATTCCCGAACCTAGAGAAGGGCAACAAGAAGACACTGACCAGATCGCACTGAATGTTATCAATAGATACATATTAGAAGGTACTGGGCATCGACCTCTGACCGAGTTCTCAATCTCAAATTCACATCGCCTAGGTCCGAGACCACGACCAGGAACTAAAACTCCACCTCGAAACATAATTGTGAAATTTGTGAGGTATAGAGATCGTGCAAATGTCTATAATAATAAAAGAAACTTGAAACCTTTTAATGAAAACCCCTCCAACACTTATAAAATATATATCAATGAAGCCCTCACAAGCAGAAGAGCAGAACTATATACAAAAATTCGAAAACTTCGCCAAGAGAGGGTCTTCCACTCCTGCTGGACAAATGAAGGAAAAATCTTTGTTAAAAAAACTGAAAAGGGCAAAGTATTCAACATAAAGAACGAAAATGACATTGCCAAGGTTGTAAGCTTTATTCCATCTGCCAACACTTATGACCTACCTGAGGACACTAACGAGAGTTTAATACTAGAATGTGAACATTTAGTAAGAACAGCTGTTTAAAACAGCTGATAATCATGGTCAGTAAGACGTTTGGCCAGCAATCTCCTTATCTGTTGTATGTATCCATGGTATCATCATAATCTTCATACAACTATATTCAATTACTCTATATAAGCTGTTAGCCTCATAACCAGCAATTGTTCTTCTTTTATAATGGTACAACTGTTTTGTATTTGTATATACGTTACTTTTTGTATTCTTGTTTATTTTTTGCTTTCTCTCAATCCGGATCTCGGATTTCAGTATCAATACCGGTTTGTCATTTACTGTGCTTTTATTTTTTTCCGATTCAAAACTAGCATGTGCAGTGTAGGAATGTCCGAGGCCAGTTGTTTTCTTGTTCAGCATTATTTCATATTTGATAGTTGTGATTAAGTGCATGTGTCTACTTAGATGGCCAAGGACATTGAGTTTTATTAGGTATGTACTGATCTGCTTACGTATATTGTTATTAACGAAGAGTACTTACTTTTTATTACTTGTTATATACTTTTTGCTTATCATATCTGGCGTGGAAACAAATCCTGGACCACCAAATCTATTTAAACAAAATTTGCGTATAGCACATAATAATGTGTGTAGTCTACTTTCAAAAATAGATGTTGTATCAGCTGAACTTTCTGAGTATGACATTATAGCTATATCTGAAACACATTTAGATAACTCAATCAGTGATGAAGATATATTAATTACTGGGTATCATACCCCCCTGCGTAAAGATAGAAATCGTTTCGGAGGTGGCATTGCTTTATACATTTCTAAAAGTATACATTTTTCAGAAAGAAAAGACCTAGACTCTAGTAATATGGAGATTCTCTGGTCTGAAGTAGTAGTAAATAATAATAAATTACTTGTGGGTGTTATTTATAGACCCCCTAACTCAAAGGCAGAATATTGGGATCATTTTCTATATAATCTACAGCAAGCTTTAGATCTTAATATTCCAATTCTATTATTAGGTGATTTTAATATCAATATGCTGTCCAACCAAAGTAGACAATTTAAACTCTTATTACAACGACTCAACCTTACAAATCTCATAGATAGTGCTACCAACTTTACTGTGAGCACTGGGACATGTATTGATTTAATATTAACTAATAATACTTGTCTGATTCAAAATCATGACATAGCAGCACCTTTTTGCAGCTCTCATTGTGTTATTAGTGTCGAACTTAAATTCACAATCCACAAACAATATGCTTACAAAAAGGTAGTAAGAAATTATGAAAATGTAAATTTTACTGCACTTAATGAGGAATTAAGACAATGTGAATGGAACTCTATTTTATATGATTCAAAAAATATCAATGAAACATATTCTAATTTTGTCTCTTCATTAAACAATTGTATTGATAAACATATTCCTAAGAAAACCATTACCATCAGACCTAGAGATAAAGTATTTATGAATAATACCATACGGAAATTAATGAGGAAACGAAACAGGACACACCATAAAGCAAAGCATACAGACAATCCACTGCATTGGCAGACATACAGAGAACTCAGAAATACAGTTATTGATGAAATTCGAAAATCCCGTGAAAAATATAACAAGAAAATATCCTCAATGATTGATAAATCAATCCCCCCTGGAAAATGGTGGAGAATAGTCAAGTCAATATCAAAACTAAACAAAAATTATGAACCAATACCACCACTTAAATCTAAAGGTAAACTTATCTTCCATCCAGTTGAGAAAGCTACAGTCCTTAATAAATACTTTGCACAAGTTTCATCTATTACACATGAACCAGACATTCCCCTTCATGGTCCTGGTCCACCATTACAAAATACAGACACTTTATCTGAAATTTTTATCACTGAAAATGAAGTTTATGATCAATTATGTATCATTGACAGTAGTAAACCACCCGGTCCTGATGGTATTTCCCCAAGAATTTTGAAAGAAATAGCTAGCACAATTAAAACCCCTTTAACAAAACTCTTTAATAGATCACTAATTGAAAAAAAGTTGCCAGATATTTGGAAACTATCACAGATTACACCTGTTTTTAAAAATAAAGGTAGTGCTCAAGAAGTATCAAATTATAGACCAATATCCCTTACAAGTGTCTTATGTAAAATAATGGAAAAAATTTTGTTTAAACAATTGCATAATTTTATGAAAGATAATAATGTAATTTACAAATATCAGTCAGGATTTCAACCTGGAGACTCAACTGTGAACCAACTAGTAGAAATATACAACACTATAATTTCAAGTCTTGATAAAGGTAAAGATGTTAGATTTATTTTTTGTGATATCTCAAAAGCATTTGATAAAGTTTGGCATAAAGGTCTCTTATCTAAACTAAAAAAATATGGTATTAATGGCAACATATTAGGCTGGATTGAGAATTATTTGTGTGATAGACAACAAAAAGTTGTAATTGATGGCTTTTCATCAAACCATGAGACAGTAAATGCTGGTGTTCCCCAGGGTTCTGTTTTGGGACCTTTTCTCTTTCTCCTATACATAAATGATATTTGTGATGATTTAGCAAACAATATACGTCTTTTTGCTGATGACACCTCTTTATATGCTATTGTAGAAAAAGAAGCCACAAATGTAGCACAGTCAATTACTAGTGATTTAGACCTAATTGATAAATGGTCAAAAAAATGGCTTGTTGACTTTAATCCAAACAAAACTGTAAATGTTGATTTTACCCGCAAAAATATAAAATATCCGCCTATTACATTTGGTCATCATGGCCCATCCATTATTCAAAATGCATCTCATACCCACCTAGGATTACATTTTCAAAGTGATGCTACCTGGACTTCGCATATACAATTAATTCATGAAAAAGCTACAAAACGACTAAATATCCTCAGAATGCTTAAGTATAAGATGAAAAGAAAAACACTTATTAAGATATATTTTGCATTTATTAGACCTGTTTTAGAATATTCAGATGTTGTTTGGGACAATTGTTCTGAAAAAGATGCAAAACTTTTAGAAGATATCCAAGTTGAAGCTGGTAGAATTATTACTGGATTAAGATCAAATTCCTCTAGATCAAAATTGTATGATGAATTAGGGTGGGATCTTTTACAAACTAGGAGGAATATTCATAAATTGCTACTATTATATAAAATCATAAATGGCTATTCACCTAAATATTTAACGGACTTGATTGAACCTTTTCGTCCTACAAACCACCCCTATAATCTAAGAAATAATGATGCAGAATTCAAAATTCCTTCTATTAGAACTACATCATATATGGAAAGTTTCTTCCCATCAACTATTAAATTATGGAATGATTTGCCTGATTATATCAGAAATGCCCCTGGAATATCTTCATTTAAAAGTCTTTTAAATTCATATTATTGTAAAAAAGGTAAAGAAATTTATCATTTTGGAATAAGAAAGTACAATATAATACATTGCCAATTGCGAAATAATGCAAGTAATTTAAAGGCAGACTTATATAACCAATTTTTATCAGAAACACCAATGTGTGAATACTGTATTGACTCTATTGAAGATGCTCATCATTATTTTTTTGCTTGTCCAAAATATAACTCTCCAAGAAATGTACTTTTCCAAACAATTCAAAATATTATTGATTGTGATCAAACTCATGAACTTGATTTACTTTTGTATGGTAGTCCCAATCATGGACTAAATATTAATACTCAAATATTTGAAGCAGTACATGCTTTCATCGCAGCAACCAAACGTTTTATTTGAATTGTAATGTATGTTACTCATGCCAACACTTTATAACCGGTACATGTATTTCATTGTAAATTTTTTTTCTCTCTCTCTCTCTTTCTACTTTTTTTTCTCTTGTTTTTGTTCTTTTGTTTTTGCTACTATGTGTGTCTATTTATTTTTATATCTATATATTGTGTGTTCATTTTGACCTTGTAGGGAGAGGGCTAAAATAGGCTTTGCCTGCTGCCCAATCCCATTCACTTATGTGAATAAAATTTTGTATAAATAAAAAAAAAAGGTTATCCTTAAATTTTGCAATAATTTTTTTGGTTGTTTAATTAAAAACTTTAAAACATGATTGAATGAGTCAAATAAGCTTAGTGTTTTATTTTTTTCTTTGTGAAGATGTCAATAGATACAGGTTAAAAACACAGGTAGAAAACACCTACTCATGTCACGAATATACCTTTATTTTTGCCATCAAAAAGGGAATGAATAAACAAAAAAAATTGAATTAGACGATATTTTTACCCCCTACATCTATCCCTTTAAACATTCCATTATAAATACACTTAAACTACTTACACCTTACTTTTTTGATAACTGTGTTTAAAAATCCGATAAGCATGAAAATGACTCTAATAATTTGCTACTTTACACCACAAAAAAGGAGAAAATAATTTACTCTCACTAGGACCATGGGGTCTTTAAATTCATTTCCCATGAAATTTACGTTAATGCAGATCAGTCATAAATGTTGTCTAAGTAAAGTTTTCAAAATTAAGATGCGGAACTCGTGCCTTAATTTTCATTTGACGTAATGCGTGAATTATAAATCTAGATTTCTAAAAAGAAAATTGTTTTGTAAAATAAAATGAGTGCTCATATAGTTCTCTTCATTCTTGTTAATGTATTGGATATATTCTTATATGTATACGGTATGTTTTACAATTAAACGTCTAACAGCAATTCTAATAAATCAGTAAAAAATTCTCTGCAATGTCTTAAATGTTAATCAAAAATACATTCATCATTATCATCAACTTTTACCCCCGTATTAAACAATATACATTCAATTAATCTCATCCCCGTTTTTTTTTATGTAATAATGTCTTACTGTTTATTTTTTAAAGAATATATTATTAATTACAGTAAATATTACATGAAAATTAAAATAAATGGACAAATCTGTCTCATTCCTTACACTGCATGATAATGATTAAACAACATCCAACTTTATCTACCCTGTCCAATGCAATTATTTCAGGACAGCCAACAGTTATTCTAATAGGGAATGCCAGCGTTACACAGGGTGATCAAGCATATTTGAAATCTACCGTAATTCCTGAGATTAATATCACATCTGTTTTGTGGCAAAAAATATCAAAGGATGACGTCAGAAATATTTCAGTTGATCTGCCAAAATACGAGCAGAGTCAGCTGACTTCCGGTGGAACTATTGTACTCACGCTGAAAATAATCAACGTGAGTGCTAAAGACGAGGTTAATTACAGAGTTGTCGTAGAAAGTGATGGGAAATCTTTTGTAAGCAATCAACACGCACTGGACGTACACGAAGGTAGCTATTTAAGTACTATTACATATATTCATTTAGTTGAAAAAGTAAATAAATGTTGACAATCCATTATTAAAAAAAATGTTTATGAGTCGCCCGCCTGACGTAGTTGTTAGAACGTCTGCTCTAGGGTCGCGCAGTAAGGAGTTAGATCCTAACGTCGCGCGTTCCATTTCCTCTGTGGGGCGTGGAAACCGGTCTTTCGGATGAGACCGTATAAACCGAGTTCCCGGACATGTTTAGTAGAAAAAGATTTTTGTATTCGAAAACGGCTTAGGAATGAAAGAAGACTTCAATAATTTTGATGTTACTTAGTCTTTAATTTGTATTTTTAATTTGTATTTTTATTTGAGAGTTTTAACCAATTTTAGTGATTTGTGTAATTCATTGGAAATGTATTCTTGGTGGGTTTTTTTTTAAACTTCAAAAATACAATTATTACAAAACATCTTGTAAACAGATGCCTCAAACTGTGAACCTGGTAAATATGGAGATAATTGTGAGAAAGAATGCTCCGGAAACTGCGCCAATAACGCGATATGTGACCCTACATCCGGGTACTGTCCGGGGGACTGTACTGAAGGCTGGGAGGGAAAATTGTGTGACAAAGGTTTGTGAGATGAATATTTACTTTTGTCATTTGTAGAATGGCTGTAATCAACACAAAAATGAATCTCAGCAATACAGCTCATGAGCATTCAATGACCATTCTGTTAATTAACGGCGTAGGTTCACCCTGTGCTACTCAATTTGCTACTTAATTTTATATATATTATACATACATTGTAAATTGCTATTGTGGCATATATATGTAGACGAAATGAAATGATAATTCCCTCTAGACCTTTGCATTAGATTTTACATATTTAGAAAAAAATATTGTTTTAATCATATTGGAAAAGATTTAACTCCCACTAATTGTATTTGTAATCTCATTTCACACGGGTGCTTTGAAGTACTAGTATTACAGCGTATGAGTAAATTAATATCAATCATCTATGGCAAGCCCTTTTACTATTTATTCGTAAAATAATTTTTTCTTTGAAAATGAGAGATATCTCTCTAGCATAGAGAGATATCTCTTTAGCTTATGGAGATATCTCTTTAGCTTATAGAGATATCTCTTTGACTAATAGAGATATCTTTAGACTTCAGAGAGATATCTCTTTCAACAAAAGAGATATCTCTTTTTGAAAGAGAGATATCTCTTTTAGTAAGAGAAATATCTTTATAAGCTAGAGAGATATCCCCTTAAGCGAGGGAGATATCTCTTAAAGTTAGAGAGATATCTCTTTAACAAGTTTAAAAGAGATATCTCTCTTAATTAGAGAGATATCTCTTTAGATTTTCAAAAAGAGATATCTTTCTAAGCTAAAGAGATATCTCTTTTAATGAAAGAGATATCTCTTTTCCAGTCACCCTTAAAATAAAATAACTAATTCTCCCGTTAAAAACGAAAGCGAAACAGGAAGTGATGTCTGTTAAGTCGTTCGTTTTCTGGTTATTGAAAAGAAGAGGATAAAATGGACTGATTGATACAGGTAAACAACGTTTAATTGCTTTACTGTTTTAAGCGAAAGTAACAGGATTTCAAGATTGGTTCCATATTATGTTTATTTCATTTATTTAGCTCACAGGACAGCTGAGCCGGGGATCAATTAAAAATTCGAAATACATGTACCCAATTTCATCGATCACGGGAATACAGGGTTGATTACTACGTACATTAAACATTATCCTGATAGAATTAATGTTTTTTAAATTAATTAATACTCCAAAAATAACGTCCAACATTAGTGATTACTAAGTCTTCTTTCAAGTACACAGGGATGTATACACTGGCTACAGTTAATATTGAAGTTGAATATATATATTCAACTTCAATATTAACTGTAGCCAGTGTATGTACGATCAATATATTAACTGTAAAGCCTTATGACCCCCTTCCCAAACACAGGCACCTGAAGTATGGATAATACCCCCCCCCCCTTTTTTTAAAAATTTTTTTTTAATTAAATAAAAAAGGGAGGTATTATCAATACTTCAGGTGCCCGTGTTCCAAAATACTCTTACAATTATTAGAAAGACATTTTATTTTCTTAAAATAGGCATTAGAAATAGGAATTTTCTTATTTGTCTTAGCTAGAACAATCCCCAATTTATCCAATGGTGTCACCAAACAGGTCTGCACTGGGTCCATAAGACATTCATCATTCAATGGTAGAACATTTTATCTACATTTATCATTATATTTCACAGGGATCCAGGAGTTACTGAAACAAGAGGCCTATGGGCCACATCGCACACCTGAGAAGCTTTGACAATTCTGTTCTTTACCACATTTCCCCCTTGTTATACATAATGCATCCCCACCCTACCCCACTGATAATAATTTAGACATTTTGAAATCTACATTACCCATTGATCCTTCCATGGGCACATATGTTTCAGCTTTTTTGGCCCAGTGGTTCCTGAGAAGAAGATTTTCCTATATATTTCTATGTAAAACTTTGATTCCCTGTAATGGCCCCGCCCTTTTCCAGGGGGTCACGATTTGAACAATTTAGAATCTACACTATACCAGGATGCTTCCACATAAGTTTAAGCTTTTCTGGCTCAGTGGTTCTTGAGAAGAAGATTTTCAAAGATTTTTCCTATTTATTTCTATATAAAACTTTGAATCCCCATTGTGGCCCCGCCCTTCCCCCGGGGGTTACGATTTGAACAATTTAGAATCTAAACTATACCAGGATGCTTCCCTATAAGGTTCAGCTTTTCTTTCCCTGTGGTTCTTGAGAAGAAGATTTTCAAAGATTTTTCCTTTATATTTCTATATAAAACTTTATACCCCATTGTGGCCCCGCCCTTCCCTCGGGGGTCATTATTTGAACAATTTAGAATCTACACTATACCAGGATGCTTCCACATAAGTTTCAGCTTTTCTGGCCCAGTGGTTCTTGAGAAGTAGATTTTCAAAGATTTTTCTATATATTTCTATGTAAAACTTTGATACCCCATTGTGACCCGCCCTTCCCCCGGGGGTCACAATTTGAACAATTTAGAATCTACACTATACCAGGATGCTTCCACATAAGTTTCAGCTTTTCTAGCCCAGTGGTTCTTGAGAAGAAGATTTTCAAAGATTTTTCCTATATATTTCTATGTAAAAATTTGATACCCCATTGTGGCCCCGCCCTTCCCCCGGGGGTCACGATTTGAACAATTTAGAATCTACACTATACTAGGATGCTTCCACATAAGTTTCAGCTTTTCTGGCCCAGTGGTTCTTGAGAAGAAGATTTTTCCTATATATTTCCATGTAAAACTTTGATACCCCATTGTGACCCGCCCTTCCCCCGGGGGTCACAGTTTGAACAATTTAGAATCTACACTATAACAGGATGCTTCCGTATAAGTTTCAGCTATTCTTGCCCAGTGGTTCTTGAGAAGAAGATTTTCTAAGATTTTTCCTAAATATTTCTTTGTAAAACTTTGATTCCTTATTGTGGCCCCGCCCTTCCCCTGGGGGTCATGATTTGAACAATTTAGAATCTACACTACCCCAGGATGCTTTCACATAAGTTTCAGCTTTACTGGCTCAGTGGTTCTTGAGAAGAAGATTTTTTAATGACCCAACCTTATTTTTGTCTTTTCTTGATTATCTCCCCTTGCGGGGGGATATGTCCCTTCATTTTAACAGTGAATTAAAATTCCCCTTTACCCAAGGATGCTTTGTACCAAGTTTGGTCAAAATTGGCCCAGTGGTTCTTGAGAAGAAGTCGAAAATGTGAAAAGTTTACAGACGGACAGACAGACAGACGGACAAAATGTGATCAGAAAAGCTCACTTGAGCCTTCGGCTCAGGTGAGCTAAAAAGGGACAATGCTGTTAATGAGGCATATTCAATAATTCTTATACTCGTGAAGAGTGTGGCAACTCCCAAGTAGTTAATGATGGCACTCATTTTTAATCAGGTACAGGATAAATTTTTGGGCTGCACTTTTCTTTACTTTAATATTTCTTTACTTTAATATTTCAAACTTACTACCCCGGTAGTTAAGTATCAAGTCCACAAAAGCTCAAAAACCATGGTGAATCATTGGACACTAATGATAGTTAAATTTGTCATATGCTTTCTTATTAAATTATCAATTTGAAATTTGATTGGTAAAAATCATTTATTAACAAGTACAATTCTTCTACTGTGTGCCTGTCATTAAATCCCAACAATTGCAAATGCACATCGATAGGTTCTCCATAAAAATTGCTAACTGCGCAGAATGGTTGCACATTTTTTTTCAATGAACGACATTTTCTTAACATTGAATCCTTCAGTATAACAAGACAAATATTGTATGCTTATTTTAATACACTATAAATAAACTTAAGAACAAATTTAAGGATTGAAGTTTAATTTGTATATTTGGTAGTTACATGCGTAATTAGTTATATATATAAAGGATGTACACAAGCATTTTATAACATTGAAAATATTCAAGAAAGTATTCTCTTAATTTCTTGTAGATCCTCACTTCTAGGATGTTTTCCATGTTCTTGTGAAAAGTGTTTTACATGGCACCATTCAGCTACAAATACTTTGCCGGTGGAACTGTGACATCAATCAACTGCTCATGCCACTGCTAATTGGCAGAATTTCCTTTGGGACAAGCAAACTGTTTCAAATATTTCACACCTGCAAGTTAGTACTTATGAAATTTTGTATGAAGGAAGCTAAAAGCTATGAGTGCTGAAAATACAAGCCAGATGAAGTACAAAAGTGTTGATGTTAGTCATTTAGAATTTTTAATTCTTTGCAGGTAGTGATGAGTGTACTGGAAGTTTTTTCGGGATCTTGTCTGACATCATAGGTACAACTGATCACTGTGCTTTCTTGGTTATATAAGCAGGCTTATTGTTAAAGCGGTGACTTATGTAGCTTCAAATGATGCTTGACTGTTTAAGTGTTTTTCTTCGATTTATAAGTAAACCTTGATTGATCTCTGATGCAGTAATATAGAGCCATGTCCATTCTTTAATATTCCATCATCCCACTGTCACAAAGTACTGAAATAAAAATGATTTTGATTTAAAAAAATTTTTGGTTTTTATATGTAACATAAAATTCTACAGAAATTCAAATATTAAAACTACTTCAAAACAAGATGTGTTTGTGAAACACTATGCACCAGGCGGCAACAAATTCAAACAAGTTTTTTTAAGCATAAAGGTCACAGTCAAGGTCACAAGGTCATTGGCCTTGGTGTCATTTGAAAGAGCTTAATTAGTGGAGTATGCAAATCAAATATGAAGTCTCGATCTTTAATAGTACAAAAGGTATGGTGAAAGTTCAAAATGGTATTTATAGCATTAAAGTCACAGTAAAGGTCAAAAGTTCACTGGCCTTGGTGTCATTTGAAAGAGCAGAACTAATGTAGAAGGCATTCCAAATATGATTACTCTATCTTTAATGTATCAAAAGTAGACGAAAGTTAAATAAAAAAGCTATTTTTAGCATATAGGTCACAGTCAAGGTCACAAGGTCATTGACCTTGGTGTCTTTTGAAAGAATTTAATTAGTGGAGTAGGCATATTAAATAAGTCTGTATCTCTCATGGTTCAAAAGTTATGGTGGAGGTTAAAGTTGACAAAAGACAAATAGACATAGAAACAGGATATAAACAATAGACAATAATTCACTTATTTTATGATTGTGTATATTAATGTGACTGAATTTTGGAATCAATTTTTACAATGGTTTAGTGTCATTGAAAAAGATTACAAAATATCCAAAAGAACTGTTTTACTTGTTAATATAGAAGGAAGTTGTTTAGAAAATTTTCTTTTATTAGTTGCAAAAAATTTTATTTACTATTCAAGATCACAAGATAGTAAGCCATTATTTATTGATGCAGTAAAGTTATTTAAGTATTACAGAAACATAGAAAATTGTGAAAAAGTTTTTCAATGTGAGGTTTTTGGATAAATTGTATGTTTAACTGTCATATGTTTACATATATGTACATTTATTATGCCCCCACCCCCCCTTTGAAGAAAGGAGAGCATATTGCTTTGCTGCTGTCTGTCAGTCCATTTAGTTTCCATTCATTTTCTTCACAACCATTGCACTGAAATGAAATTTGGTATACAGCCTTACAGGTATATCAGATGAATATCTAGGTCAAGTTCTGTTTTGGGTATGATTATGGCGCCATTTTTGACAGAGTTATACCCCTTGGATTTAGAACAAGAGGCCCACGGGCCTTATAGGTCACCTGAGCATTCTGCAACAACTTTCCAGTTATTGAATTTGATTCATGTTTTAAGCCAGATGCTATATGGCATTCACAATTTTGAAAGAGGCACCATTGATCATCATAACAATACACTTAGCAGTTGCTTAGCTTGGTTTATTGATTTAAATATGCCCAATAATAAGTTCATAGGATCTTCATGAACGTTTCATGAACATTTCATGAATAAAATTCATGAAAAATTCAAGGAAATTCATGAATTATTCATAATCACCTCGCAAGGGTACTGATACCCATACGCAAGGTAGGGGAAAAAAATGCATTCCAACTAATCAGTAATATTCAGCAATAATCAGTAATGCCCCTAACACTGTGAAATAAACCCCTGACCCTAGGTCCACACATAGCACAAATTTTAAAAAGGCACCGTTAAAATTGTCTATCAAAAAATAAATAAATGTTTTATAAATACAAAGGAGCAGATTTCAAACAATTAATTCATTTTCAGTATATAAGTAGAGCCCCACCCCCACCCCTGAGGCCTTGAAATTCAAAACTTTGCAAGATTAGGGCCCTTGCTCATCATAACTATTTAGGTAGTTCATCTGCTTCATACCCAGAGACAGAAAAGAAAATTTTCAAAGATTTAATGTATATTCACTATATAATCAATAGAGCCCCCCCCCCAGAACCCCTGACCCTGGGACCATAAAATTCACAATTTTGGTAGAGGCACTCTTGCTCATCATAACTATGTACTTAGTTAGTTTATTTAATACCTAGGAGCAGAGAAGAAGATTTCAAAAAAATCATGTATTTTTACTATATAATCAATACAGCCCCGCCCTAACACCAGAACCCCTGACCCTGGGACCATAAAATCCCCATTTTTTGTAGAGGCACTCTTGCTCATCTTAACTATGCACTTTGTTAGTTTATTTAATATCTAGGAGCAGAGAAGAAGATTTTCAAAGAATTCATGTATTTTTACAATATAATCTATAGAGCCCCCCCCCCCCAACACCAGAAGCCTTGACCCAGGGACCATAAAATTATTCACAATTTTTGTAGAGGCACTCTTGCTCATCATAACTATGCACTTAGTTAGTTTATTTAATACCTAGGAGCATAGAAGAAGATTTTCAAAGAATTCGTGTATTTTCACTATATAATCAATAGAGCCCCCCCCTAACACCAGAACTCTTTGCCCTGGGGCCATAAAATTCACAATTTTGGTAGAGGCACTCATGCTAATCATAACTATGCACTTAGTTAATTTATTTATAAATATCTATGAGCAGAGAAGAAGATTTTCAAAGAATTCATGAATTTTTACTATATAATCTATAGAGCCCCCCCCCACCAGAACCCTTGACCCTGGGGCCATAAAATTCACAATTTTGATAGAGGCACTCATGCTCATCATAACTATGCACTTAGTTAATTTATTTAATATCTAGGAGCAGAGAAGAAGATTTTCAAAGAATTCATGTATTTTTACTATATAATCTATAAAGCCCCCCCCCCCCTTTACCAGAACCCCTGACCCTGGGACCATAAAATTCACAACTTTGTTAGAGGCACTCTTGCTCATCATAACTATGCACTTAGTTAGTTTATTTAATACCCAGGGGCAGAGAAGAAGATTTTCAAAGAAATCATGTATTTTCACTGTATATAATCAATAGAGCCCTGCCCTAACACCAGAACCCCTGACCCTGGGGCCATAAAATTCACAATTTTGGTAGAAGCACTCTTGCTCATCATAACTAACTACTTAGATGGTTTATTTAATACCCAGGAGCAGAGAAGAAGATTTTCAAAGAAATAATGCATTATCACTACCTACTTATTTAGCCCTGCCCTAGCACTAGAACCCCTGACCCCAGGGCCATGAATTTCACAATTTTGGTAGAGGACTCAATGCTTATTACAATCATGCAAACAGTTTGACTGCTTGATGTCCAGGAGTAAAGAAGAAGATTTTTAAAGATAGCATTAATTGTAGTGGTTTTGGCCCCACCCCTCAGGCCCCAGGGGGGCAGGGATCATGAAATTCACAATTTTTGTTCCCCTTCACCCATAGATGCTTTGTGCCAAATTTGGTTGAAATTGGTTCAGTGGTTGCAGAGAAGAAGCTGAAAATGTTCAAAAGTTTACGAACGACGAACGACGACGGACGAAAACAGATAGCAATAGGTCACCTGAGTTTACTCAGGTGACCTAAAAATTCAAATTATTTGCAGTTTCCGTTCATTTCCTTTGCAGAGGTTGCACATAGTGAAATGCAATTTAGTATACAGATTTATCAGATGAATATCTAGGTCAGGTTCTCTTTTGGGTATGCTTGCACCATTTTTGACAGAGTTATGCCTTTTTGGACTTAGATAAAAAATTCCAATGTGGGGGGAGGGGGCATAAGTATTTTACAAACATCTCATTATTTTCAAGTTTAGAAAGTGCACTGTGTGAGTGTGTGCAATTGTGGTGGTGAGTGGGTGAAAATTGTCTTGTGTTTGTACAGTGTATATATGGATATGGAAAATGCTTCAAAATAAAGCATTAAAAAAAGTTTTGGAAAGTATGGCAATCATATACCAGTACTCAGAAATGCTAAATAAAAGGCTTTGTAGAAGAAAAAAAATAATTAAAACCAGGGTTCGACACTAACATTTTTAGCCTTTGGTCCGGCCGGACTAGTGTCTCTTTACTTTTACTAGTCCGCAGGAAATTTTATGAGTCCGTCAATAATATAAATAAACAAGAGGCCCAAGGGCCACAGCGCTCACCTGAGCACATCGGGCTTGAATTTACTCCCCCCCCCTTCCAGGCGTTCATCATTTGAACAAACTAGAATCTACACTACCTGAGGATGATTCCATATAAATACCCCGGGTATCACTAATCATAGCTTTGAAGTACTTGAAAAGAAGATTTTAAAAGGTTTCCCTATATATCCCTATGTAAAACTTGGGTCGGCCATTTTGGCCCCACCCTATCCCCAGGGCCGGGGGGTCATGATTTGAACAAACTTGAATCTACACTACCTGAGGATGATTTCACATGAGTTTCATCTTTCCTGTCCTAGTGGTTCTTGAGAAGAAGATTTTTAAAGATTTTTCTTATATATTCCTATGTAAAACTTGGGTAGGCCATTTTGGCCCCATCCTTGTCCCGGGGGTCATGATTTGAACAAACTTGAATCTACACTGCCTGAGGATGCTTCCACATGAGTTTCATCTTTCCTGGCCCAGTGGTTCTGGAGAAGAAGATTTTAAAAGATTTTTCCTATATATTCCTATGTAAAACTTGGGTCGGCCATTTTGGCCCCACCTTTGCCCGGGGGTCATGATTTGTACAAACTTGAATCTATACTACCTGAGGATGCTTCCACTTGAGTTTCATCTTTCCTAGCCCAGTGGTTCTGGAGAAGAAGATTTTTAAAGATTTTTCCTATATATTCCTATGTAAAACTTGGGTCGGCCATTTTGGCCCCACCCTTGCCCTGGGGGTCATGATTTGAACAAACTTGAATCTACACTACCTGAGGATGATTCCACATGAGTTTCATCTTTCCTGGCCCAGCGGTTCTGGAGAAGAAGATTTTTTAAAAATGCCATTAATTTTTAACAAATTCATGATTATCTTCCCTTGGAAAAGGGCGTGGCCCTTCATTTGAAGAAACTTGAATCCCCTTCACCCAAGGATACTTTGTGCCAAGTTTGGTTGAAATTGGCCCAGTGGTTCTTGAGAAAAAGATAAAAATGTGAAAAGTTTACGACGACAACAACGACAACAACAACGACCGACGACAGACAACGGACAAATTTTGATCAGAAAAGCTCACTTGAGCCTTCGGCTCAGGTGAGCTAATAAGTAGAATTAACATTGCTATGTACTTTTTATACTTTTTTGGAAATAAACAAAACATTTACAAGAAATGTTTTATACCAAGATTTGTTGAAAATTTCGCTCGCAATCAGGAATTCGAACTACGATCGTATTCCCGATTGCATTCGTTTTTCTCTATACATGATTATATCATGCAAACATCCGACATCTTTCTTTATGTGTCATACTAAATCATGATCGCTAAAATGTTTAATTTCATATCATCGAGTCCTAAAATTAAGCTCCAAATTGACTCAGAATTAGGTAACTTCCCGCCAAGAAGCTGGAAAGCTAAAATTAAACACAGGTTTTTCCAGTGAAAGTTGTTGAGAATTGAACATCAATAAATTCGACTCTTTTTCCCCAGAAAAATTCATTAGTCCGTTCGGACTAATTAGACACAAATTTTATTAGTCCGAAAGAAAATGTATTAGTCTGAGACTAGCGGACTAACGTTAAAGTCGAACCCTGTAAAACTACCAATCAAATAAGTATTAAGATGTAAATCTTTTAAGATGAAGGTTTTCCTTTGTCAGATTCTTTGCTTATAGGGACACTTACCTTTAATAATGTCATGACAGGTGAGGCACATGACTGGTCTTCATGCTGGATCAGTTCTTAGTTAAAACCATCCAGTATTGTCCTAAGATTGCCAGATGTACAGACAAAACCTGTAATTTAGCAAACTTCTGTAACATGCCATTTGAATTATTACATAGGCCATACTTGTATGTGCAACTGATAATAATGTAGGACTAAGGTGCCTGACAAATAATGAGTTATAAATCTTACAAATATCCATTTATTTGATACAAATCTTAACTTTCTTCATTAAATTTTATCAATGATTTTACAAGAAAATCAGAATAAAAATTGTCCTTTTTATACATAAAAAATATTTTCATTTAAATTTTTTTTATTTAAAAATATTTGTTGCATTTTCATATTTAGGGAACCCTTCCTAGGCCAACAATAAAAAAATGATTTGTTTGATGTACTCTGACCGACCTGTTAAAATAGCCCCTACCCATTTGCATTCATTTTTTGGGGGCACTTAAAATTTTTTAACACCCCCCCCTTAATTTCCATAGATGTTTTAAAGAAAAGGTATCATATATTTTTAGGATGCTTTTTAATTTATTAATACAAAGTCTTTCTAACTAAATGAAAACATTAACAGATTTCTGAGTCTGTGGTTTTAAATATGACAGTTATCAATTTATTCAATGCTGTAAGGCATAAAAAAAAACTAGAAATATGTCCACAGGACAGGAATGCCCGCCGAGGGTATATTAGTCATGCAAAATGAAAATTCGTATGAAATTTGATCAGGATATCTTGAAAAATGTTACAGTTGAATTGCTTACATCATTATGTATCAGCATATGAAGTTTGACACTAATTTCAGAGATGTGAGGTCAAGGTCAAATAAAAGGTCAAGATCATGTTGATGCAGTTGAATTGCTTACATCAGATTGTATCACCATATGAAGTTTGACACTAACTTAGGAAAACTGAGGTCAAGGTCAAAAGAAAGGCCAAGGTCAAAAAATGTTTGTTTCAGTTGAAAAGCTCTTATCAGTATGGTGAGTTTGATACAGTAAATCTCGTTTAGTACGAACACAAATATTGTGAATTCATGGGTATAGCGAAGTCATTTTGGATTCCCATCTATAAAATTTCAATGAATTTCTTATACAATTATAATGAATTATTGATATAGCGAAGTAATTTCATAGGTCCCAGCAACTTCGTTATAACCGAGTTTTGCTGTAATACCATCTTGAATGGTATGTTTAAAACTGAGTTAAACACTAATTTAAGAAAAGTGAGGTCAAGGTCAAAGGAAAAGTCACGGTCAAAAAATGTTGATGCAGTTGCATAGCTCTTATCAATATTTATCAGCAAAGTTTGATGAAATATCCTGTATAGTTTCTTTGAAACTGGGCTTTGAACTGAGCTAAACGCAAAGTTTGACGCATGGACAGAAAGACGGAAGACAGACATGACAAACACTATATGCCCTAGTGATGGGGAATCGGAAAAAAATCAGAATCGATTATCGGTAATAATCGGCTGGGCATAATCGATTAATAATCGATTATAATCGAAATTTTGAACTTTAATGAAATTAATATAGAAAAGTTAAAACTTATTCAGATTTCTGTCAGACTTTTCCAAAAAAACATTTACTTACATAAAATATTCAAAAATAATAACTGAAATTTCTTTTTTTAAAAGTGGAAAATAATATTTTGTTTACTTTAAAACAATATAGGACTATTGAAACAGAATGGGAATTTATTATTATTTTTTTTACAAAGTCCATGCAATGGGTATTTTACTGATATTAGTCCCACCTTTCATTTAATACATGTATCTATTTCTTAAAATTAGTTTTAATTAGTTAAAGTTGCAAGTTTTGAAAGTAATTATCCAGAAGTTAGACTTGTATTTATGATTATAATTACGTTTAAAGATTGACTAGACTAATTATGTTTTCCTTTGTATAGTAAAACATTGCAATATTACCGTTTCCTGGTATTAGTCTAACCCCATATTTAATCATGGCGGTAAAAGTATCAACAAGGTACGAAATCCTTCCATGTTTTCAACATTCATCACTACTTTTATGCTCTTTGCACTTGGATTTGGGAATAAAATTAAAGTATGACAATTTTATTTTTTGTTAGCGATGTCGGCGACATTTATTTTATAATCGATTAGTAGCATCGAAGAGCTTCTAACGACCGACAATCGATTGTCGGCGACAATCGTTCCATCACTAATATGCCCAGGCCATAATCATGGTGGGGCATGAAAAAACTACCGGTGCCTACCAACCTACCTACCAACCTTGATAAAAGTGGGTAGAAGTACATCAAACAAATATATCTTTAAAGCTGGCCAGTTGTTGACTAGTATATTAGTCATTTTGATATGCTATGTCTTATAAAAAATAAATTTTATATTTGTCTTAGAACTTATTTTGTTGCATCAATTTCATACCTGTATTTGATTTGCATTGTTTTGGATGCTGATAATTCAAAGTCAGTAAAGTCTTAGGTGCTGCTGACTTTGGATCTCTTAGGAACTGCATCTTTTATCTGTGTTACTGGCTCTCTTGTACCTCTGCTATAAAATAAGTTTTAGTGTATACAGTTGTGTTTTATCAGTGAATAAATAGAACAGACAGATTGATTGTTTATTGTTTATCGTTCCTCTCAAGAATTTTTCACTCATATGGAAACGACAGTGGAGATCGAGCTGCAAATTTTGTCCTAATGACCTATACTCAGCACTCAGGGCCATTGACTGATTGAGCAGGAAGTGATCTTTTTTTGTGCCAACACCTGACCTACTGCAACAAGGGGCCACAGTTATACTGTATCATCCCAAGGACAGGTCTCTACATATAATTCCCACAGTGGGATTCAAACTCATGATGTAAGGATCAACACCTTATTTCGCGACTCTACTAGAGCAGACACTCTAACCACTGTGCCATGCAGGCGAATTTGAACAGATAGAAAAATTTACCAAAATCCATAAACCATGTTCTATAAACAGGAAACATACTCTCTAAAGTGAGAAATATGGTCATCTAAATTTTATTTTATGCAGAGAGATGGCAAAATATTAATCCGAGATTCCTCTGACTCTAACCCTTTTATATTGTGACTTGTGCTGGGGAGATATCCCCCGCCATGAATATGACCAGGGCATAAAGTGTTTCTCATGTCTGTCTTCTGTCTCCCCCGCACAAGTCACAATATAAAAAGCGGGGGTTAGAGTCAGAGGAATCTCGCATTAGCAAAATATATGAACATCTTATCCTTGTGAAATAGATCTAAATTTCTACAAACATTTAATGCTCAAAAAAATAATCCACTGATACAAAGCAGGTTAAAATTTACTGAAAAAAAAGTATATTAAAAAATTACCCAAACAAAAGTGATGCAGCCACAATATCATAAATATGACGTTGGTACCCATCAATGACAAAACTCCTCCTCTATAATCAGCTGATAAATAACATCTCGGATTCAAGAGAAATCTGTTAAAAAATTAAGGCAAAAAATAATTTCAAAACTATTTCATTCGGTTAAGAATAAAACACTTCATTTTCCCTCAAAATAAACAAGAAACGGATGACACTCTCTGATTTGTTTACCTGTATTTCGATCGAAATATTCCTGGTGGACGCTCGCACCCAATTTCTTATGACATGAAATTCATACATCGTAAGTCGGACAACCCTTCGGCTTTGTTAAACTATTTAATTTCCCCCTGAAAGCTGTGTGTAAACCAGAAACATGCTGAACTCAAATACACATTCACCATCACGGTCACCATGTGCGAGGAAGTTAAATTTATCGTAAAATCTCGCGAGTCACGTGACGAGACTTACAGACTCTGGACCGAATTTTCTCAGCTTTTGAAATAATGAATAAAAAGTTCACTTCCGGTAAAGGGAGAAGTCATTACAAATGGAATTTAAATAAACATAATGAAGAGAGATATCTCTTTGCAATAAAGAGATATCTCTCTTTGCTTCAGAGATATCTCTTTTAGACCCTTTTGAAAGATATCTCTTTCACTTCGAGAGATATCTCTTTAGATAAACTTACAGAGATATCTCTTTTACTTTTGGAGATATCTCTTTAACTTGGAAAGATATCTCTCTCAGTGAAAGAGATATCTCTCTAAGTGAAAGAGATATCTCTCTAGTTGAAAGAGATATCTCTCTAACGATCAGAGATATCTCTTTAACGTTCAGAGATATCTCTTATCACGAAAGAGATATCTCTTAAGGAGAAAGAGATATCTCTCAAAGAAAAAGAGATATCTCTCTACGAATAAGAGATATCTCTCTAACTTTAAGAGATATCTCTTTCTTATAGAGATATCTCTCAAGAATAAGAGATATCTCTTTAAGTTGAGAGATATCTCTTATTTTTAAGAGATATCTCTCTAAAATGAGAGATATCTCTGTAATTTTCAGATAAAATTTATTTTCCGAATAAATAGTAAAAGGGCTTGCCATAATCATCTCAAATATAAGAATTAATTTTTAAAACAAAGAATACTGAAATTATCTATTTTTTTTTTTTACAAACAATGTGGCTAAAATATGATTTAAAATAAGAATTCCATTGTTATATTCTTATTTATGACACTCTGAATCGATATTTAAATAAATCAATGAGTATGTAAATGGCTTGATTTAACAATGTCTAAAAAGACATTCTGAAGTAGTGGACTTTTTTTTGTCCAATGCTCTCACCCCTTTGTCTCATTGGCTATTACAGAGTGTAAGGCGGGGTTTTACGGCGTTAATTGTCGGAAGACCTGCAGTGGTAATTGTTTGGATAGAGAGCCTTGTGGAAGATTCCGAGGACATTGCAGAAACGGGTGTACTGATGGGTGGTCAGGAAATCTCTGTGATTACGGTCAGTTATAGACTAAACAGCAGTGAGTACAGTTAGTTACATAAGGCGGCAGAAAACAGGTTCCCTTTCAAAGGGTTCCGGGGTATAGGTAGCAGAGGGTTCGGTTGACAGTTGGTAATATTTGACTGTCAAGAGAATGATATTGTTATGTTACTGTAAAGGGAATAGGCGTTTGTTCTGATTAAGTTATATTATGAAGGATATAGCTTAGTTAACGTTAGATAGCTTAGGATATCACGAGATCACGGTGATTGATGTGGTTACAAAAGAAATTACAAATTTTTAACATAAGATATTGTTATTTATCTCATACGTGTAGGTTATTTATCCATGGGTAGATTATTAATAGCACTTTCGGTTTTGACACGATTCTTCGCGTCAAGATGTTTTATTGAAACTTCTATTTGTAAACATTCTTGCCCTTATAAAATGGTGACCTTATAAAATGAATGATAAAAAGCAATAATATCGGTAAAAGCAAGAAAAGGTCTCATATATGTTTACGAAGTGTCTTATTTAATTAAGGTAACTGTATTGGCTACTTGAAGACGGATATTAAACACCCCCCTCCCCTTGAAATCGTTCTCGGAGAAGTAAACCTTAGCAGTTAAGTTCTTGCTAAAAGAGTCATTCAACAATGCTTTCTTATATCATACTACGTATGCCTACCTAGTAATTTAGGTGTAACTTACCATGGATTAACCATGAATCTACAAGCAGTCTTGCCTAGTACTGCCACCGTACAAAGAGTTAAATTTCACGATCCCTTGGGCCTTACAACTTTCAGTCAGAAGTTCGCTTGATGTAAAGCTCGAGCAATTGTCACATAATGCTTTCAAAAACACAGACAGAAAAAAGATATAAATTCTGAATATGATCTACCTTCTTTTGGGGCATGTCAACATCAACAGTGCTATGGCTTTAAGTTATACCTCATCAATTTGAATTAGAAATCATTCATGTAGTTTGGCAGGGGAAGTCTCAAAGTATTGTTTAAACGAAAGTCGTATGAGATAAATAGAACATCTATATATAATTGTGTGATTTGTGTTCGCTTTATCCAACTCGTTACAACAATGTATATACGCGGATAAAGCCAATTTCAAATCACACAATATAATTATATATACTCAATATATATTGAATGTTTTCAAGGCACATTTCTCTACATGATTAAAGAGAGTAACTTGACGGTTGTATTGCGATCATTAATAGAATAATCACATTTTGAAAGAAAAGTTATCCACATGAAAAACCACAACAAATTATACATGTCAGTATTTTTTATATTATTACCTTTCTAGCTGTACCACCCTCACCGACGAATACACCACAGACAACTGGATCAGAACTCCCCTCCTATGTCCTGTATGTAGCCCTTACTGTTACTTCAGTCATCATACTGGGGGCTGGTGTTTCTGTCCTGGTTTACTGGTAGGTTTGATTTTAACTTACAAAAGCTCTCCATAAAACAAAATGTGGCATCTATATTGAAAAGTCCCTACATAGTTAAGAGGCTGAGACACTTTTTGCTTAACGTTTTTAGAAGGTAACCTTTGAATGAAAATTTGAAGATTTAAAAACAATATTTTTTTAAAAACAAATTAATGATTATATCATACTTTTGACCGAATACATATAAAACATAATCAAAATCAATATATTTTCAGGTGCAAACATTCCAGAGCATGAACAAACATTATTCAAATGTTGCATTCATGACTTTAATATGTTCATAACATTCAAATTTTATTTAAACATTGAACAATATATAGCACCTGTTTTTTTTTCTTAAAGATGAAAATTACTATCACTATAATTATGTTTTTAGTGTGAGGAAAAAAACAAGGAAGAAGACGCTCATCAACGAATTGGGACAAAAATGAACGCAACGAAAACGACAAGATATTCAATATCGATAACGAAATATATGATTCAATATATGAAGAACCAATAGAACAGGAGAGCGAGCGGCCGCCATCTTATCGCTCTGTAGACCATGCATATGAAGAGATGAAACCAGACCCAGTCAATGAATATATAGAGATCACTGAATGAATATTACACATGCTACAAGGGGTTGGGGGAGTAAAAAATGCCATTTTGTATTACTTGCAATTGTATCTATATTAATCTAGTGTTTGATTTAAATAAATATTTTTGTAATAAAAATGTTGATTTTTAACGGCTTCGTTGTTTTTATTTTTATAATTACCATTGCTTCTCATCACAATCCCTGATAAATTTCATGTTCCATTAAAATATGCATAATTAATCAAAGTAGTCTCATTCAGAGTTCGACTTGTCCATCATCAACTTTTAGTAAATCTAAGTATACCACTAGTAAACCCTTCCACCTTTCGACGTCCTTCAAAATTCATCAAACATTGAATATTTCGTAGATAATGCTTAGGATGTTAGCTAAAGCATAATAATATCCTTGATAATTTATCGATTTGAAGCATCGTTTGGATGTTAAAAATCAGTTTCACTCGTTATTTTTAGGAATAAATATAGTCAATAACCAATCACCAGTTAAGAAAGTATAGATTTGAAAATCTTTCAAAGGTATGAAGGGGGTTCCATCAAATGGTCTATCAACCTCAATTTTATCGAACGCAAACATTAAAACAGTAGGAAAGGGGAAATTCGGAATAATTCTACAACATATAATTTTGTTAAAAATCTAAACTAGAACAATATGCAAGTGGCATTTTGTCAGTATTAGTGACTATTTTGATTATATGGCTACCCGAAACAACAGGGAAAGAACTACCTAACACACTAAAAGAGGTTAACGAACTTTATATCTCCAAAAAAAGATGATCTGACAAATCTTGACTGACTTATAAACTTAAGGTAGATCGCGGGTTTGCTGACGTCACAATAGGATTTGACGTAAAAAGCTTACCGCGTTCAAATAAGCAAGCAAAATATATCTTCAGCAGTGCTAAAAGAGAAATATATATTAAAGGTTGTTTGGTGTGTTTAAATATTTATTGTATGTAATTGAGAATAATTGATGTTTTGATCAAGGTTGTCTTTTATATTGTAAGTAGTTTTTAACACTGATATCTATTGTGTGTACACACATTTCTAAAATATCATTGCCTAATTGTTGATAATATTGTCTGAGCCAAGTACAGGTAAAAGATTGTCAAGACAAGAAAGAAAGGACAGTATATGGTACGTCAATATGCTTTGTAGCAACCTCTAATGATAAAACGCCGCTTAATGATACAAATAGCATTAAGCGTTGCAATTGCAACGTTTAATGCCATAAATTATTGCATTAATAGCTGACATCACCAACCGCTAATGCTAAATTGCCGCTTAAAGACAGAATTATATCATTAAGCGTCACAAATGCAGTGCAACACCGACGCTTAATGAAACAAGCAAATATCGACATATTCGACGCTTAATGATACACACTTGTGTATCATTAAGCGTTGCAGTTGCAACCCTTAATGATATAAAATTTAGAAATCGCTTGTAATATCTAAGAGAAACACACATCCACCTTTCCTGAATAATAAGATATCACTTGTCAACATATTTATATATGCCCTTGTGCTATATAAATGGTAATTATAGAAGTTTTACTGTGTTTTCTATCTAGTCAAGGGAACATCTTTAAGCCTCGGATGTTTAAGAGACAAACAGTCAGATAGCTGGAAGAAAGAGAAACAAAGAAAGGGATAAATGAAATGATATTCAAATCCTTTAAAAGAACCATTTTTTTACTGAAAATACAGAAGCAAACAAGCAAATAAATTCCTTTTAATTTGATACAATGATTTGAATAGTCAAACTGAAATATATATATCATATTTGAATATTTTTATCGAAACTTTGTATTTTAGATTTGATACAGCTTAACACATACCACTGTTAACGTTTCAGATATACGTATCGAGATTTTCACTAAAGTATTTTTAATCTGCTTCGTTTCTCCAAATTCCGAAAAAGAGAGACATCAATACTGACAACTTATGTTTAAGGATATATAACAAAGAATACAAGTAATACATATAATAATATATATTGTGTTGAGAAAAAAGGTTCATTTATGCTTTATTTGTGAGCAGTATTACTTGATTACATCACCGTTGCATCACTGCATGATTATTTTAGAATCAATTTTGAATTCTAGTATGTATCAAATTACAATATACATACTGACTGAGGTTGAAGAGGCTGGGTTTTTTTTTAAAATTCTAAATGATTTTTTTTTTAATTCTAAATGAATTTTTTTTAAAATTCTAAAAACACACACACCTTTCCTGAACAATGAGATATCACTTGTCAAAATTTTAATATATACCCTTGTGCTACATGTATATAAATAGTAATTATTGAAATTTTACTGTGTTTTCTATCTAGTCAAAGGAACGTCTTTAAGTCCCGGATGTTTAAAAGACAGACAGTCAGATAGCTGGAAGAAAGAGATGCAAACAAAGGGATAAATAAAATGATATTAATTTTTTTTATATTATTATTTTTTACTAAAAAATACAGAGGCAAAAAGCAATTAAATTCCTTTTAATTTGATGCAATGATTTGAACAATGTTGAATAGTCAACCTGAAATATATATATTATAATTATATTATATATTATATGTATATATTATATTTGAATATTTTAATCGAAACTTTGTATTTTAGATTTGATACAGCTTAACACATATCGCTGTTAACAATTCAGATATACGTATCAAGATTTTCACCATTGCTTCGTTTCTCCAAATTCCGAAACAGAGAGACATCAATACTGACAACTTATGTTTAAGAATATATAACAAAGAATACAAGTACATGTAATACATACATGCTGTATAATAATATATATTGTGTTGAGAAAAAAGGTTCATTTATGCTTTAATTGTGAGCAGTGTTACTTGAATAATCACTGTTGCATGATTATTTTAGAATCAATTTTGAATTCTAGTATATATCAATTTACAATATACATATTTACTGTGTTGTTTTTTAATTCTAAATGACGCATATTTCATTTGCAGTATATTTTTTTTCTCTCGATATATAAGACTGTTTACATCTGACTGATATTAAAATGAAATAGATTTGAATGAATATAGTTCTTTTTTCGGTACAAGAGAAGCCCTCTTTATTAATACTAGTATTCATCAGAAGTGTTTTGTTCACCGCAAATGGATATTGAAAGGTCGCATGAAAAGTCCGACTGTGCTTTACTTGCTTTGGTTAATACAGTAATGAGCTACAAAATATATCTCGTCTCATGCAACTACGGCCAGAATGAGAGAAGCGCGTACATTTAAACCGTGGTTAGCGACGTTCCAAAGTTTTCACAAATCAAAGTTCCAAAGTTTTGACTTTGCTTCTCTAGTTAATTACATTAAACTATAGTAAACTATATATGTTTTCTATGGTATTTATTTTTTGTAAGGGACATATGTCCGCTATTTAACGTAAGCCGTGAGTGAAAAAACTGTGTAAATTTCAAACTTATAAACAGAACCGACTAACAGGCGAGTATAAATAGTACATGTTTACCGAAATAGATCATTCTTTACTTACAAATGCAGTTGAGAAAGACTGAGATCTTTCTAGTTAGGAATAGAATTAACAACTTTTGAATAATATAAGAAATTATTGTTTCTAATTATTCCAAACATAAAGTACAATGCTTTGATACTAGTATGCTTGGACTTTTGGTTTTAAAGCATGGCATTCTTGGCGATACATAATCAGATGTTAAATCGATTCCACTTGGTCACTAGCTCATCTTACTCTATACATATAAAGTAGCACAAATGCAAGGAAAGAAAGAAACACAGAAGTCTTTCTGTTTGCTGTCTAGTTGGCAAAAATAAACACGAGTTAGAGTTCTTATTGCAATGATATTTATTTAACTTTCATATTTTTTATCGTTATAAAAAACAATACTTTGATTGGAAATAGTTACTTTAAGACCCTGGAAAGCACATGTAATTCACGTAACGAAACGTAAGTTGCATATAAAGCAAGTATGTGGCAAAATTTTCCAAGTTAAGGGGAGGGTCTCCAAAAATGGAGAATACAAAATCCCTAATCTTCCCAAAAACATTAAAGAAATATTTAAACTTAAGCATGTTAAGTACGATTCTTCTCTGGTTTCTGACTAGATGGAATATTCAATGTATATGTAATGGTTATAAGACGAAAACTGTCCATTATGTCAGATATTAGACGACCCGAGGCGCGTTAGCGCCGAGGAGAGTCTAATATCTGACATAATGGTCAGTTTGAGGCTTATAACTTACTTAAAACATTTCACCATTGTCGAACACTTCCATTGTTAACTTATTGGACAGCCACAGGTAAGGTGTCGTTCTGCTTGGATGACTACCTGGCACTGTTCATCAAGTTAGGCCAAAGAAAACCAGTTTTGGTTTTTCTTCTGATTTTATTAATAGTAGGAATCATCGAGAGGTGTTTTATATCGATAAATATGAACATTAACTTTGTTTAGTCTTATTTGTCCGCATTGCAACATTTTTTATCTATACTACGCATGCGTTAAAGTCAGTTCTACTAAATTCTTGACAATTTATTCATTTTACAACGCAACGACCACGGATGACGACGTGCGTTTTGATTTTGAAAAATACCTTCAGAATCGGGTGTGTTGACGATGCCATTTATCGATTACACCAAGATGCCTCAGTTCAAGTTTTTACTATGAAATCCAGATACATATTCTTATGTTTCGGAGTTTCCCGTTAACAGGTAATTTTTGTAAAGCAATAGGATGTGAAGTATTTTACTCCTACAACTGTTTAAGCATTTTCTTTGAAATTGGGAGATTATTTCTGATGTTTGTTTTTTTTAATGCAACACTTTCTCTTTTGTGTGCAGATT